AAATCGGCGCTTGGACCAGAATATGTCGAACATAATATAAAGTGGTCCGATCTTTGGTAACATTAATTTTATAAATACTGGAGAAGAATTGACTTAATTTACATTTGGATAGGATCATATCAAACCAAATACACTGTTGGTCCTATCCAAATATAATTGGTTACTCTATTATCGGTTATAATCGATAACCGAATAGTTTAATACATTTAGTAGTTAACCGATAACAAATAATTTTGTTAGTGGTTAATCAATAAATGTATTTTGTTTGTGCAAATTGATATGCACATTGAACCATAGAAGTGGGTTGAGATAATAGATATAAAAGAACAATTTTGATATTTGGGATCAAGTTAATGGAAATAATAACAAAGGACTCATTTGTTATCTAATCATAGTACATGGTTTCCTCCCGACAAAAACATAAATGTAGGGGCTTATTTGTTATCTTTTCACAGTATGGGGTTTATATGGCTATTAATCCTATTAAAAATAAAAAAAAATGTCTCATGCGGAGTCGTTATTGGTTTATGATTAACTGGCAAAGTAACTGTTAATCAAACTCATAATTGACGATTAACCAATTAGAGTTATCAGTGCAGTTATCGATAATGATTTTTTTTGCTTATTTGTTCACCACTAACCGACATATTGGTTACTGGTGAACCAAAATCGAACTGATTAGCACCCCTAGTGTCGCAATATGAACGAAAAGAGTAAACATTAATTTTATAAATACTGGAGAAGAATTGACTGAATTTACATTTGGATAAGATCATATCAAACCAAATACACTGTTGGTCCGATCCAAATATAATTGGTTACTCTATTATCGGTTATAATCGATAACCGAATAGTTTAATACGTTTAGTAGTTAACCGATAACCAATAATTTTGTTAGTGGTTAATCAATAAATGTATTTTGTTTGTGCAAATTGATATGCACATTGAACCATAGAAGTGGGTTGAGATAATAAATATAAAAGAACAATTTTGGTATTTGGGATCAAGTTAATGGAAATAATAACAAAGGACTCATTTGTTATCAAATCATAGTACATGGTTTCCTCCCGACCAAAACATAAATGTAGGGGCTTATTTGTTATCTTTTCACAGTATGGGGTTTATATGGCTATTAATCCTATTAAAAATAACAAAAGAAAAATGTCTCATGCGGAGTCGTTATTGGTTTGTGATTAACTGGCAAAGTAACTGTTAATCAAACTCATAATTGACGATTAACCAATTAGAGTTATCAGTGCAGTTATCGACAATGATTTTTTTTTTGCTTATTTGTTAACCACTAATCGACATATTGGTTACTGGTGAACCTGATTAGCACCCCTAGTGTCGCAATATGAACGAAAAGAGTAACCCCCCCCCCCTCCCACCTACCAAAAGTATGATGGAGGCATGGCTAAAATGAATAAAGTCGAGTTGAGTTTTGACCTAGCTTGGGCTCAGCTTGTTAATAAATGATTTTGTCTTGTGTTCGAATCGAGTTCGGCTCATCAATTAGCTTGCGTGGCCGGCTCAAGATAAGGTATCATATCATTTAGTTCAATAATCTTGTATCGTTCATATTATGTTGTTTGATAGTAATTAGTATTTGAGCAATCTATAATACATAATTTCTCTTTTAAAATTATAAACGAGACATATTTGATCACATGCTCAAATTCTTAAACATCATATGAGTTGACATATATAATCTAACAAACATATGAATTATCAACAAGTCAATGATAAACTATTGACCGATTCACTCACAAGTTGCTAGTTGGGGTGGTTGTATCCATACTATCGAGCCAGCTCACAAGTTGAGCTCAACAAGCCACCGAGTCGAGCGTGCTCATGAGCCTTTGTGATGTCTTTGACGACAAATGCTGTTGGGGGTGTTACTAAATACTCCACGCGCGGACTAAATAAGGGCGCGCTCAATTGGTAACGTGCTCCGGACGAACGCCACTACGAAGTATTTAAAGGCATGAAACTCCCCATTGAAAAGGACTTCCTCTCTCTCCAGCACCTTGCACTTTCCCTTATCTCTCTACACTTTATCTCTCTACCTTATTCTCTCAACTCTCTCCTCGAACTTAAACTAACTTGATCGTCGGAGCTTAATCCGGGGGGCATCCCCAGTTCTTTCACAGGTTCTTCCCTCCCGACGAGATCAGACGAACGGATCGTGAGTCAACCCCACACAACAATCTTTATTGTTCATACCATCGAGCTAGATGGTACAAACAATTGGCGCCCACCGTGGGGCTGATAGAGACTCGTGCGTTTGATTGCGTAAGGAGGAAGAGCTCGTAATCTGAAGAGAAGACAGGGGCTTGATCTATATATAAAAAAAGAAGCTAGCTGCATTTGAAGGAGCGGAAAAAACTCTTTCTTCCCCACCACCACCGCCGACGATCATGCCACTGCTCGTCCCCGCCATCACATCTCGCCGTCGACGCCAGTTATCGGCCTGCCAGGTCGTGCTCTAATCCTCTGTCCCAAAATCTTTGAGAAAGACAACACCATCTCCGTCGACTCCCGCCGACTTTGGAAACCTCGACAAAGAGAAGAGGAAACAACTGCTGACGCCGGAGAAAATCAGTACAAGCCCAAAGTTCAATCCAATGGCCCGATGAAGCGATGAACACACGCCAAAAAAAAAGGGTGAATCGGCAGGGTGAAGAGAAAACAACAAAGATGTGAAAGTAGAAATCCTGTCCAGATCCCGTCCACTCTGCTAGTCGGAGTGTTAGCTGTACCGGAGCTTGGATGAAAGAGAGAACTCGGCCTCACCAGTCACCATCGCCAAGCTCTTGTCCCATCACCCTTTTTCAATCCTCCCAAAAAGTAGATTTGACAGCTGTCTTTCAACCACGCCTCCCTGTCAGACAAAGGGGACGGACGATGTCCCTGGTACAGCAGAACGAAGCTTTCAAGACAAAACTTTTGGATGCTAGGCTGGAAACCCAGCAAAGCGGCAAGGAGGAGAGCGCGCCTTCCGTGTCTCCTTGGCAGAGCTTCTTTCTAAACAGCGGCGCGATCACAGCCTCTCCGCGCTGTCTATTTTCTCAGCACCTCAATCTTCTCTTACCGGCGGCGCCAATCGATGACATCAATTACCGCCGCGCGACCGTCATTTCAACATCTCCCCTCGGTGTAATCGACATTGTCAGCTGAACCCCGCACTCATTGACCGGGGCGTCGCGCTTCCAGTCTACTCCTCTTCTCCCTCCTTAAGCGGCTTTCATCACCACTAGTTCACCTCTCTCCGCTCTTCGTCAATGGTTGCACGACCGCCGAATCGTCCCCCGCCAAATCTGAACTCTCCGTGCACCACAACCTCGCCGGACCGCGCGGGACCCCTCCGCCGCACAACTCCCCACCGATCGCCAAGAGTGATTCTGCCGCGAGCCCTGCTCCACCAATACCCGTGCTCGCGGAGAAAAGAAAGGAGCCACTCGTCGCGGAGAGCACCGTTCGAAGCGCTGCCGCGCGTGCCGTCCGAAGCACCGCGCTCACCTCCGCCCAAAGAAGCTCCGCGCGGTGATAATTTGCGGGCGGGAGGGAGAATGAACGCGAAAAAAAAAAAACGGTACAAATCGCATTTTTTGCTCCGCGCGTTCTGTTCATCAATGGGCTCCCAACCCAAACCGCGTCTCATGGGCCACCTCCATCTCACGGCCCACACAACTGGCCCACGCGGAAGTCCCAACTCGCGTGCCTCTGCCCGCTCCGTTGAAATGTGGCAATCCCGCCAAGCTCTGACATGGAGCTTATTAAAAAAATATCATCGGCGCCAGAGCTTGAACCCGCATCCTGTCTTCACCAAATAAGCATACTGACCAGCGGGCAACATACGCAACTTGTGAACCTATGGCGCAGTTCTCATTTTAACAACACTCCGCGTGCAAAGCCGGCCCAAACCTCCTCCACAAGAGCCATCTTCAACTCGCGGCCCGCACTATATGAGCCCACTTCGACCTCCCCAGCCCACAACTATCTGTGTCTTTACCGCCTCCGAAGAACGCACAGGAGCCCGCCTCTTAAGCCCGCGCCACACCTCCATTCGTCGGCCGATACTCGCAACACACAAGCCCAACTCGCGGCCCAACTCGCGGGCATCCAACAAATCAGCACTCTTCAAAAAATTGTAGTCGCCGCGAAGACTCGAACCCGCGCCACTCCTCCCCTAGTCAAGCAACGTCATCAGCAGGCTACATGCACGCTTGGTGATCATTGGGCGCAGTACTCTCATATCAACGAAACCGCGCCATCACCAACTCGCGTCAAAACAATTGACGTCATTGCGAGGACTCAAACCCGCACCATCACTCCGCCTCACAAGCGCTATTACCAGTAGGCTACATACAAGCCTTCTGCTCCAAGGGCGCAACGTCTGCATTTTAACAACTCTTCGCGCCGCTTCGCCAATAGAAAGCTAAGTACTCTATCCCTTTATCACTATCAAATATTGAAATATTTTACTCTCATAAGCGTTAATGGCACTAAGGGAGAGGGCACATTGTCTCGAAGACTCCAAACTGAGGGTTAAAAACCCCGACGAGGAGGGCTCCAAACTAAGCGTCAAAAACCCCGACGAGGAGCCACAAATAAGTCTCAACGAAGCACACAAATAAGACTTCAATAAGAGCATCGAAGACTCCAAACCGAGGGTTAAAAACCCCGACGAGGAGCTACAAATAAGTCTCAACGAAGCACACAAATAAGACTTCAATAAGAGCATCGAAGACTCCAAACCGAGGGTTAAAAACCCCGATGAGGAGGGCTCCAAACTGAGGGTTAAAAACCCCGACGAGGAGCCACAAATAAGTCTCAACGAAGCACACAGATAAGACTTCAATAAGAGCATCGAAGACTCCAAACTGAGGGTTAAAAACCCCGACGAGGAGCCACAAATAAGTCTCAACGAAGCACACAAATAAGACTTCAATAAGAGCATCGAAGACTCCAAACTGAGGGTTAAAAACCCCGACGAGGAGCTACAAATAAGTCTCAACAAAGCACACAAATAAGACTTCAATAAGAGCATCGAAGACTCCAAACTGAGGGTTAAAAACCCCGACGAGGAGGGCTCCAAACTGAGGGTTAAAAACCCCGACGAGGAGCCACAAATAAGTCTCAACGAAGCACACAGATAAGACTTCAATAAGAGCATCGAAGACTCCAAACTGAGGGTTAAAAACCCCGACGAGGAGCCACAAATAAGTCTCAACGAAGCACACAAATAAGACTTCAATAAGAGCATCGAAGACTCCAAACTGAGGGTTAAAAACCCCGACGAGGAGCCACAAATAAGTCTCAACGAAGCACACAGATAAGACTTTAATAAGAGCATCGAAGACTCCAAACTGAGGGTTAAAAAAAAACCCCCCCGACGAGGAGAGCTCCATGAAGAATCTACAATGAGTGAAGGCTACACGCTTTAATGAAATACACCAACTGGGGGGCAAGACGCAAGAAGCTGGCACCGCGTCAGTCAAACGCGCCACCAGCTGGGGGGCAACTGGGGTACATAGGGCTCTACCCAAAATTACCGACGAAGATTAAAAAAAAAAGTAATAAGCTAGCGATGAGTTAAGACTCACCACCAGCTTGGGGGGCAATTGTTGGGGGTGTTACTAAATACTCCACGCGCGGACTAAATAAGGGCGCGCTCAATCGGTAACGTGCTCCGGACGAACGCCACTACGAAGTATTTAAAGGCATGAAACTCCCCATTGAAAAGGACTTCCTCTCTCTCCAGCACCTTGCACTTTCCCTTATCTCTCTACCTTATTCTCTCAACTCTCTCCTCGAACTTAAACTAACTTGATCGTCGGAGCTTAATCCGGGGGGCATCCCCAGTTCTTTCACAGGTTCTTCCCTCCCGACGAGATCAGACGAACGGATCGTGAGTCAACCCCACACAACAATCTTTATTGTTCATACCATCGAGCTAGATGGTACAAACAAATGCTAATTGTGGGTTATGGTCGTGTGCGCGTGAATTAGTTTAGGGATTGTATTTTTTTGACTAATTTATTTGGGAGATAATAAAATAATAAAAACCAAAATTATGAATGGTTAGGAGTGAATGAGGGGCAATCGAGTCATTTCACAACCCTTTCAATGGTCACTTAACAGATAATTAGATGAAAGGGTCGTTACATTTTAATATTATAAGGATATATTTGTACAAAATTTAATAAAAGGGACGTTTGTTAATTTACATAGTACAGAAGTACAAAATGTTATTAACCCTTTTTACAAAAACCATTCTTAACTACGTCCCACCGCACTAGTTGAAGGTGATCAGGTTAAGGGAAGCAGACTTATTCTTCTTTTCGTACAAAGTCGTGAACTGAATAGGAACAACACTCAATGGTGTTTTAGCTTCAAGCTCAAGTATCATAGTGAAGACTCTTTTCATAGAGGCTAAGGTCATTCTTTCTACCTAGTTTTAGATTATACAGAGAGCAGCCAGTACTTAACACTCGTAAGAGAACTCTTCTGGCATATTGTGCAGGGCTTTGATAATGTTGCTAGCAACATCTAGCAGCTGCAAGTACTCATCGGCTCCATCTACTAGACACTGCAGAAAACACATTATAGAGGGCACAGTATGTGAGATACCATTTTCAAGATACTGAAACAGATTCACAGCTAAAAGAACTTCCCAGGGGGGAATCAACATGAGTTTCAGGAAATCCAGCAAGTACAAGTAATTTGAGCTGTTCTAGAATAGCATTGGCAGCAATAGAATAGTGAGCCCGCCCCCCCCCCCCCCCCCCCCCCCCCCCCCCCCCACAATTCCTCTTTCTTATAATGCAACAAAGAGCAGAAAATTAACCTTATCTACTGAGCCCATGTTTTTGCATATGCGAGCCTTCTGTTCATCTGATATATCATCAGCTTCGACCACCACGTCAAATAACTAAGGCCAAGATATATTCATCAGTAATTTTAGTATTATATCTAATAAGTATAAAGGACATGTGCCTCGAGATATAAAACAGAAGATTACCTGGGAAACCATCTGAGAGACTGGGTACCCATCAGATATTACATTACTGACTTCTTTATTTGCCTTATCAAAGTTGCCACTTTTACAAGCTGCGAGAAATGACTCAACAGCACTTTGGGGAACAACCTTATCAAGAGAAACAGAAAGGAAAGGATGCAGCAAAACCACTTAGTATCTTAATATGTAATCTGCCCTGCGTTCTCACTGTTGACATTAACAAACATAACAAAAACACAACAATAAAGTGCACCAAATAGTCAAATTGGTGTAGATGCAAAAACACCGTCCAATGTACATAAATAAAGGATCAAGATTTTATCTTCTAAAAGAAATGGTGTGTGAGATAAATTGACTTGAACCACTTGATTTGCTAAGCCAAGGCAATCATACATATTACTCATAAGGGGAAAAAGACCATGACAACAGCATTAATTAAAATCTACTGGTACATCATCAATTACAATCCTACTGGTACATCATCACAAAGAAAAAAAGAACGGAGCCCCAGGTTGCAGTTTTAAAAGAAGTACCCCAGAAACAGGCCCAAATTTTGAAATTGTAACCAAAGCAGTGCATAGCTAATGCATAAGTTTCTTGAACAGCTTGGCCAGGTTGAGGTTTTAGAGAATTAGTAATACCGAACACATCTAATCCCAGACACCTCTGCCAGAATAACTTCTATATTGATATGTTGCCCAAGAAATTCATTCTATGACTTACCCCAGAAACGTTAATTAGGTCATCAGATGAAATCGATGACCCATACAAGCGAGCTGCTCCCTGTCATACATCATGGGGAAAGATTGCACTATATTAGGAGACCTGGTCACTCAGTACTTAAGGTTTGAATTTGAAGAGTGTACAGAGTACAACACTAACATTGTGGAAATATGAATCTGAATAGAGCAACATGACAACACAGACAGGCACGATCAAGCAAATGTAAACTAGAAGAACACTGAATATCAACTCTAGAAGCCTATGATGTACTAAAGTTGACCAATTGACGTACTCTCCAGGCCATGTAACTGGAAAACTGAACATCACTATACATGACCAGAACTCTCTGTGTTTAAACTGGTTTATAGGGAACAATCCCCATCCAAGTAATTTCTATCTGCAGCTCTCCTAGAATTTCTCATGCACAACAGATCCTCGTGACTGCAAGAATAAGTTCACCACATAAACACCACTGGGTCAAGGTTAAAGGACCTAGTTCTTATGCATAATCCACGCAGAATGACCGGCCTGAAATCCTCTACATTATAGCCTAGGAGATGCACAAAAATAACTCCATATTTCATTTAGTATCCTGCAGTAAAGTATCAGTATTCTATATGAGTTACTATCTGGGTATGTTAGTGAAGAAAAGGGCATCCACTAACTAGGTTTGTCTAAGTTTCCCTATGATTGATAAGCTCTCGGGTTCAGTTTACGAAGCATTAACGTGGTTCAGAAAATGATAATGAATGATAATCAACCAATCATAATAGCTTCGCAGAAAACAAGAAAATCTCTTACTTGCAAGTATGTGATTGCCCGGCGAAGATCTCCTTGTGATATGGAGCCCAAGGTTGAAACAGCCTATACATCGTGCATCTAACATATGTTTACTTTCCACATATTCGCCAAAACTGGTAACAATGTGACAACGCCAGTGTGAAATCATTATTACCTTTTCATCAAGGTAGATACCTTCCTCCTTACAGATATGCAGTATACGACCACTCATGATTTCTTCTGAAAGTGGCTTGAACCTAAACTTTGCACACCTGGAAGCAAGGGGCTCGATAATCCTGCACATATTGAAACCAACTGTCATAAAATCCAACATCGAGTTTACTTATCAGGTCAGTATCACATGCAAACAGCACAGCTTGTCCACATGCACCTCAGACTGTTAAGAGTGGACAAAACTCTAAACCAACAGGAACTCTGGAGTCTCTTTCTTAGCCAGACGCATGTTCTATAAAATACAATATTCAATTTGTTGTCTATTGAATTGTAGAAAACCTCAAATCTATCAGATCAGAGAAGACTGTAGCCATGGTTCAGATTAGAAAATTTAATCTAGGAGCACTGCTGTTTAACACGAATGATGACACAGCCAGATCATTGGATGAAGAAGAGAGTATGGGTAATATAGTCATACTCCTCTCTACTCCCTCCTATGTAGATGTTATATTAGTTGAACTATAAGCAGGTATGAAAGCTGCAGGCCTTGAACTCAGGTCTACACTGAGTGACTAATTAAGCCAAGTATGAAAACTGTACCTGCTTATGTAATTGCATATGAAGAAGAATCTTGTAACTTTAGAATACGTCTCCATTGTACGCCTCAAGGCATTCTGTCAAAAATATGCTTAAGTTCAGGACATTGATCTTCGGTGATAAGAAACAAGACAAATCAAAAGCGAACAAAATGGAACATGCCTGAGCGTCTTCAGTCATCGAATCTGCCTCATCTAGGATAATGATCTTGAAAGGTGGACAAGGATAATTCCTGCAATGACATAGGAATTAAGAAAGAAAAAGAAATAAAACACTATGGTCTGTCAAGGTAAAAACAAATACAAAAAAGCAATGCATACCCATGATGTGGTCTAGTATCCACAGCTACAGCGGCAAAATCCTTGATCTTAGTCCGGACAACATTTATTCCACGGTCATCACTTGCATTGAGCTCCAAAACACGTGACTTGTAGTGCTCAGGCCTTAGAACAAAGCCATTTATTCAGAGACCATTCACTTAGATAACAATGATACGACAACCTAAATAGATTAACAACAGTACCAAGTTGCCCATCCTAGATGAATACTAGGTTCAAAACATCTAAAGACAGTAGAAAGCAATGTAACAGTTTATTAAGGTTTAAAAAGTTTCAAACTCAACCACCAGAAACACTTGATCAGTGATGTCACCACTCTAGCAGCAGTAAATACTATCTCATTTCATCAGCACTCTTTCCACCTAGCAAAAACCCACATATTGATACACTATTCCTAATTCCTCCATGCATGCAGAACAATTCAGCATCAAATTCACTTCCTTTACTTGCTTGCAGAGAACAAAAATAAGGATGAGGAACAACCCTTATCCAAACAACAGCACACTAAGTATAACTTAGGAAGTACCCAAAGAGCTGGTGAGCAATGGCCAATGCAGTTGTGGTTTTTCCGGTTCCAGGAGGTCCATAAAAGAGCATGTGTGGGCACTACAGAGAAACACCAAAAACATTAACTCCATGACCAGCAGAATCGCAGCAAACTTATCAGTAGAACCAATCACTAAATAGTGAAGTTTATAATTAGGTTTCCAAAGAACCCAAAAATGATCAAACAGATCATATTGAAGAACAAAAAGAAAACTCACACTTGAAGTCTCGAGGGTGTTCGTGAGAACCCGCACCACTTCATCCTGGTAGGCTACGTCTTTCACTTGCTTTGGCCGACTAACCCCAAAATGCCAAACCACACAAAATCAATGAGTAACGAGGACAAATATTTCAGAAATCAGGCACAAAATGAACTCCAAAAAAGAAGATAAAGGAAGCTTACTATTTTTCAACCCAGGGTTGTGAGCTCTGCAAAACTGGCGCCATCGTTTTCCTTCGCTTCTCCCACTGCCGAGCTCTGTGCTTGGTTGGTTCTTCTGCGAGCAAAGAGTTGCAGGTTGCAGGTTGCAGGACGAGACTGAACTGAAGTCGTCCTATTTTCAGCCTTTTCCCGCTATATCAATCTGGGCCTAAGATGGGCTCCTAAGCGTATAATGGGCCGAACTGCAATCGGAAATGGAAAAGTAACGTCGTAGTTGTGAGAGGTAGAGGTAGTTTGGTACTTCGATGAATTTTTTTTTAAAATACACATGTTTTTTTAATAATAGTTCAAACTAGACCCGTTATAATTTTTTTTTCCAAAATACACATGTTTGGAAATCACTGCGGTCATCAACCGCGGTGAATGCGTCAACCGCAGTGAATGCATTCACCGCGGTTGACGGCCGTGGTGAATGCCTAACGTAACACTGAAACTTCAAACAAACGTAATTTTGCGCTCGGTTATCCGATTGCAGCGAATTGTTTTTTCATTCCACGTAACTTTTCAAGATCTTTCAATCTGCAACAGCTTTCATCCCAAAGAAAATTCGTTTGCTACCCCGAACGAGCAATTTTTCGATTATGACAAACTTTGGAAGACCATAACTTTGTGCTCCGCAATCCAAATGTCATGAAACTTTTTTTGATTTCGAATAACTTTTGATGGACTACAACTTTTATTATAACAATAATTTTGGAATGGATGTGGATTTGTGAAAAGTAAAGGCAAAGTTATTCCCAAAATCCCGTATACCCAAAAATATTTCTTTTTCAAAAACAATTTCCTAGTAAAAGTTGTATTTCTTAAAAAGTTACGCGCAGTAAGAAAATCTTTACGATATTCGTATTGAGGAGCTAAAAGTTATGACCTTCCAAAGTTTGCAAAATCGATAAATTGCTTGTTCGGGGTAACAAACGCATTTTTTTAGATGAAAGCTTGTTGCAGATTGAAAGATCTTGAAAAGTTATGCGGAATAAAAAAAATATTCGCTATAATCAGATAACCGAGAGCAAAATTACGTTCATTTGAAGTTTCAGTGTTAGGTTAGGCATTCACCGCGATCGTCAAACGTAGTGATGCCTAAACATGTGTATTTTGGAAAAAAAATTTATAACGTGTATATTTTGGAAATTATATTTTAAAAACATGTGTATTTTGGGATTTCATCCGTACTTTGGTTCCCAAATAAACCATTCACATTAAGTTTTTTTTTACTGGTAAAACCTGTGAATCTTTATTAATCAGTGTTGGCCATTACATTATCAAGTTGTAAATGATTAATAAAATACATGAGAGGCCTCTCCAGCCATATAATAGATTAATTAAATCTGGTCTTCGAGAGTGCCATCAAATAAGTTGCTTCATTCGCTGTCCTTCACACATGGTTCCAATAGCCATTTCCAATCTCCTATAAGAGACATCAGATGTTCCAACAGATAGCCCCAATCTCAGTATGAATTTCGTTCGCTTCCCGTATCTTGAGGATGAGTGACAGGCAATGAGATTCTAGCCTGGGATTGGTCACGTTGAAGTGCTTCGCCAACTCCAAGCCGAACTCTGCCACCAAAGCCTCCCCCATCTCCACTTCATGTTTTTCGGCTACCCTATTCGTAGCTACCAGCAGAAACTTCCCATCCTGGCCTCGAAGTACCACTCCCAGATTTACCCCATCTGCCTCCACAAAGCTGACATTCGTATTAATCTTAAACTCCTTTGGACCTGGCTTCCTCCATGTCCTCGCTTCCTGAGACTGTGGTTCCATCTGTATTTTCTGCTAATGATGTTTATAATCCTCTTGGTAGTATTGGGCACGTAAGACAATCTCATTCTCCTACAACTTCTTACCATTGAAAAGCTTAGCATTCCTCTCTTTCTAGAAAAGTCACATTAGGACACTCTAGCTTTCCAGTTTGGCTTCGTCCCCTTACCCATAACTTTCTTTAGCCATTGAAAGCAATCCTGGGCAGGCTGGAAAGCGAAACAAGTTGCCAACTTCGAACTCCTCCACATGCGACATGTCCACGGGCATTCACCAAAAAGATGAAGTTGTGTCTCGTGCTGGTCGCAAAATGGGCATTTATCTCTTCTTTTGCCCCAATAACACAATCCAATAAACACAAACCATAATGCATAATCCAGAAGTAAGTCTTGATTTAAGGAAGAAATTCCACGATAGGGAGTTCCCTAACTTATTCTAGCTCATACCTTGTGTAGTGAGGTATGAATCTCTTCTTCAAGAAGAGGAGAATAGAAAGAGTGCCTTAAGGGTGTAAGCCAAGAGGTCAATGAGGTGGAGGTAGACTTGGTTGACTTATGTTCAAGGTAAGCCATATCTATGTGCTTATTTGGCTAAGGTGGAGAATGAACCATAGAGGAATTGACCAAACCGGGCCCCATTCAGTTATGAAAGTGTTCCTTTGAAATTTCCAAAACTAAGTTGATTTTTGTCCAACTTATAAAGTTGGTCAAGTCAAGTTTACAAAGGGCATAATACCCCACCCCTTGAGATGTTAAAAGGATGAAATTATTATAAGTGGCATAATAACATATCACATTTTACTAATCATTGTGTGATTTTTTGCAATGTCTTGTAGGATGCCATTGAGAATGGACACATCAGGTTCCCATAGCCATGGAATGATGCCATGTTTGTTGTTGTATTCGCTATGGGAATATGAGTTTGATCCGTAGAGGGCATTGGATAATCAGTGGGGGCGTTGGTGGAGAAGAAAGACAATGTGATTTGGGAATTGGTTGGGTGGGGCAGGCTAGGGACAAGGCCGGAAGAAAAAAATGCAACATACTAGAGTTCAGATTACAGGATGGTGTCGTATTTCCAAACTCCTAGTTAGTGGGTTTTTGGCCCAATTCCCCCACACCTTTTACCCAGTCAAACATGGGAATTTGATCCAAACACTGCATTTTATGGTTTGGGGGTCAATTCCCTCATCCAATTTCCACATCCAAACAGCCCCAAGTAATTTTTAGGTATAGAAGAGTGATATTAGATGTTGAACACCTTAGTCCATAATTATTATGAACTAAGTTGTTGGGGTATTTGTTTACATAAATGTTAACCATGCACAACACTAGTTAAATATAAGAAATTAAATGACTTGATAAAACCAACATAATTAAAAAAATTAAATCAATCAAACTGGACCATATGGATTTAACTTTTGGGCCCATAATAACCATGCCATCACACATGCGCCACCCTAGCTCATCCATTCCAAAATTTATCTAAGTCTAGAGTACCCTCCTAGTGTGATTAGGAGAGGTAATCAACATACCCCTAGTGCATTAAGGTTAGGAATTTTTTTACTAAGTTTGGAGTATCTACCTTGGTATGACAAGGTGCAGGATGAATGGTGATGAAGTACCCATCCTATTGTGATAAGAGGGGACAGTGTTTGAGTATAACGTGTAATGAGGCCAGGGCGTGTGATCAGTATGTGACACGCCAAAACACAACACCAATCTGCAACCAAGTATAATCGCAGACCGGGAATGCAGTAACAGGCAAGTTCTATTATCAACTCGGGGTCTAGATCTACTGCTTACTCAGTGATTCTCTGTTATCTAGCCAACTAAAGTAAGTGATTGTTGTTTAAAAGCAAAAGCAGAAATAAAGCAGGAATTGATACGGTTTTCTCAAGCAGGAAAGAGTCACTCGGGAAAGAGTCCCCCTAGCTCCTTAGTTAGGTTTCCATTGTATTTCCCTGGGTTGATTTACTGTTGATTAGACTGCGGAAGATCCGACAGTAGCTTGGAATCTCTTAAGCTGACCAAGCCCTCTCAGTCTAACCACCCGGCAGACGACTAGTCTTCACCGGGATAGAAAGCTGAAGCAGTAAGAACAGAACTCCACTACTGGAATTGGATTCCAGTACAAAGCAGTAAACTGGCTAACTCTCGTACAGCCAATCTCCTACTATCGAATGATGAGACTCTAGCAACCTAATCAGATTCTATCAATCTCAGATTGCAGCAGGAATCAGGAAAAGTTGATCAGACTTCAATTGACTCAATAAACATGCATCATTCGATTAAAATCAAACAGTAATATCATCCCAAGTCATTACAATCAAATCCCTAACACATGGAACTAGGGTTCTTCATCCCCAAGTGAGATAGGGGTTCTACTCCATAGAGAGAGAGAGAGAGAGAGAGGAAAACAAGATACAAAGCAGTCATACTCATACTTATGGGAAGAATCTGCTCTGGGATGATGATTTCCACTCCTATGACGATCTCCAAGCTTGATTTGATGAAACCCAGCTCCAAGATAGCTTCTAGGGTGTGTTCTTCGTCCTTTCTCTCTCTAGGGCTCTGTTTTTGCTCAAAAAGTCCGATTCTCTCTCTTGCAGCCCAGAATTGGGTTAAAACCAAGAATTCCCGACTCACACGGGCAGGGCCACACGGCCGTGTGGCATACCCAGTTGCCCGTGTGAATCAAAACGCTGCGTTCCAATTAGTTCGATCTTCAGGCTTCTCACACGGCCAGGGTCGCACGGCCGTGTGGGAATTCCATCTGCCCGTGTTTGCTCTCGGCGAAACTCGCACGGCCAGGACACTCCTTCACACGGCCGTGTGGATATCAGGGCAAGCCGTGTTTGCTCTCGCACAATCTCACTCGGCCACAAATATGAGTTGCACGGCCGTGTGAGTTGTGGGTGTGCCCGTGTGGCCTCCTTTTTGACTTGTCTCGCGCCCGATCTTCGTCCAATGGACCCCAAACTCGCTCCCAAGCCTCCATTCACGTACTAGGACCTGAAATATCACAAACAAGCACAACCTAGCGTGAAATCGGCCTAAAACATGAGAAATCACATCTCAAACGGTGTAAGAACAAGGGTAAAAACATGGGTAATTAACGGTCTATCAAACTCCCCCACACTTAACCGTTTGCTTGTCCCCAAGCAAACCAAGTCAGACACAAGGTAAGCTTACATATTTGAATCAACCAACATTGTGGACAAATCATAAAGGCACAGAACACGTG